TTGATAGCCTTTAGCGACAGATTAACAGACGGAATTGTGCATCGTTGACACCGCAGTTTCTAGTAGTGAATCCCAATTCCAATCCTAACCCCTATCCTAACCCGATTTTGACCCATTTGAGACCATTCAAGAAACTCAATTTCAATTTCAATTTCAATCCCAACCCAACCCCAATCCATATCCAAAACCGATCCTGACACCGATGATTAACCTCAACCCAACCTGAAGAACAAAAGGAACGACCATGAATATACCTTAAACCCCGGAGGAATAGGCGACACTAGAACATGCATGGGTTGATGTTTCGGAAGACCCGAAGGTTGGTAACGACAAAAGTGCGCCTATTTTTTTTTATAGAAAAGTTACAAAACGTTTGCTCACCAAAATGTATCGAGGTAACTACCAAAATGGAATATCAAATCTACTTGAAGTAGAGGAATGCCAACATAGTGGTAATGAAGTTAACCCTTTGTTTATGAATTTGAAGCGTGACTGACAAAGTGGTGCAAATGCTGCAACAATATCAAACAAAACTCTTGAAGTTTTCCGGAAAGATAGGGGGATACCTTGAATTTTTTTAGAGTTTTGGTATATTGTCAATGATTCCAAAAAATGGCTTGAAGTCGAAACATCGGAATCATTCACGAGTGGTTCTAAAAGAACCAAAATATTTGAAACCACCCATAGCCATCGGACGGGCATGTCGGGTTAGACCTCAACAAAGATGAGATAATTGAGGTTCCAAGGCCTACGCTTCCCATGCGAAGAGCCAAACAAAAGGAAAAGGGGTCGAAGGTGGTTCAAGTCATTTAGACAATATGAGTCGGGACTCGTGGGCTTAAATACAATTTGGGAAAAATATTTGCACGTTGCAAAAAGAAAAAGAAAAAACATGTAACATGAAACTCCTAATGAAAGTTGTGTCTCACTATCCTGATGATGAACGAAAGTTGGTGTTAAAGGTAAAGGCAAAGCTTGCAAAAAAATAATATGTAGTTTTTATTTTTATATTTTCATGTTTCCTATGTTTTAATTTCAAGTTTCCTATCTTTTATTATCTTGTAATTTCCTTTTTAATTTAATGATAGTTTTAGTTTTATATAAAGTAGATTGTTTAAATAATAATAAAAAAACATTGTGGCATGGCAAACCTCACTCACCGGCAATAAATTGAAGTGGTATCACAAAAATGAGATGATGCTAACGAGACATGAAAAAAATGTAGAAACAAATTACAATTTGTCCTAAACGACATTATTAATAAATAAATTTACAGCATAATAGTCCTCACTTTTGATTTTCAAACAATTCATTTTACAAGAAATGTTTCAACCTATGATTCTAGCTTAAACTTAAAATGAGCTTCTCGAAAAAATTAAGGCAACAAATTTTACCACAAAATTATACCAACATCAAGGCATTACACGTTGAATTTAACATATTATTCTTATTAGGACATTATATTTAAAAAAATATGCCCCAGCAATGTGAATTTCTTTGTATCTGGATATACTAAAAATGCAACCAATTTTCTGTTTGAATAACGAAACTCAAAGCCAACTAATCTTTCTCTTTTTTAATGTTTTTTAGTTCTCCTGTATCAGCCAAGAACCATAAAATAAGCTTGTATCTTGACATGTTTGATCAATTGATACAATATGATAACATTCATTCTCAAGAGTACTGACAACAACACTTTGCGTTGAGGGTTAGATGATTATCAATAGTATGCTAAAGACTCGGTTGATCTTTCTTACTTACAAACAACACTATTTGGCATTAATTCCAGGAGCTATTAAAGTTATTTTTTTGCCATGTAAGTACCTAGTTTAAATTGATAAATGAATGAAACTGGAAAAATAAAACCTTTATTGTATGGAAATCCTTATCAGGGTTCTACATTGAAATCAACCAATAAATGACTAAAAAGCAAAACACAAAGAGTTTAAATTGCTAGAAGTGAATATGATTACCTTTTGTACATATGGTCATACCCAGTGACTCCATTCATTGTCCATGTCTTGTCACTACTTGTTTGCGTATATATGGTGACCAAGTGTCAATCAAACTATTAGACTACAACAAAATGAAGCATAAATAGGAAAAGGAAAATGAACTCACTATTTATGTGGCCAAGAACAGATACCACAACGTCCATTGCTCCAATCCTAAATACTGGTCTAATTTCACAACACAATAAGAAATGAGACAACAAAAAGAACTCAAATTTAGAAGTAAGTACCGAGTCAATACCTTTAATGCCTTGAAGTAAGAAGCAAGTATTTATTCAAACTCATAATGTTACTACCAAAACTAAAACAAAGAAAACCAACATATACGCATTTGATCAAACTAATCGTCTCTTACAAACAACTGAACAAATTCAAACAATTATTAAAAGAAGGATAAAGAAAAATAGGTTGAGAAAATGGAGAGGGTTATGGAGTTTATGTCGGGGTGTGTGTATGTGAACGTATATAAATGGCAGGAAAAGAGGGGGGGGGGGGGGTATGAGATCGGTAGATAGTTACAAACCCTAAAGCCATATATAAGGAAAGAGAGATCAAATATACTTCTACTTTTTTTCTCCTACCATCTTCCTATATGTTTAAAATTGTAACACTTGTCATATTTAATAAACTTATAAATTTTTATTACACTTGTCATCATCTTAAAAATGGTAAGAGGATATTTAATTTCCCATAAGGAAAAAATACAATTTATGCCAAAACGAAAGAAAGGGTCAAGTAACCTATCCATTTTTTTTGATAAAGGGAAAGTCGATTATCGATGGAATAGTATCGTTTGAAATATATATTTTGTATTGGCGAGAAAAATGTATGCGACGTACTTCAGTGTCTTAACATATCGTCGAAAAGGTGACCTCCCTTATATCTACAAAAGAGGGAGTTACACAGGGTAGGGGTGGACCTAAACAAAAAAATGGGGCAAAGAATTACATGACTATAGGAATGATCAAAATATTTCTTTAAGTATGGAAGCCCCCAACTAATTTGGGCTAGGCTATAAGATACTTGGGAGTAGTGGGGGCATTTTGGGCTAAACAAATAGAAACTAAATTAAAGGCTAAAGCTAAAGATGGAAAATAAATAGATCCCACTTTCTTGTGTCTCTCAAGCTTCAACCAGCCAACATTTAGCAATAGCAAGAGCCAAGAGTCATAGAAAAAAATCGTAAAACAGAGCAAGATTCTAACATAATATTTGTTTGGTAATTTTAAAAACCTTTAATTTATTACTTAACCTTTTGTTATGTTTTATATTATATAAATTTATGTGATTGTGATAAGTAGTAATTATGCGTGTAAACTTTATAGTTAACTTTTGTCTAATTTTGTTAAATTTATGAAATTTTATAATTGTTTGAACTTTTAATATAGGCTAATATTGTTTGGTAATTTTAATTACCCTGATATTTATTAATAAACATTTTGTAATGTTTTATATCTTTATATAACTGTATGTGATAGTGATAAGTAGTAATTATGTGTGTGAACTTTATAGTCAATTTTTGTGTGATTTTATTGAATTTATGAATTTTTACATTTGTTTGAAGTTTAAACTTTGAATATCGGATGTGTGATATTAAATATGAATGGAGAAATAGAGTTCTTATGGATTTGATTCTTTTGTTTATAAATTACATGTGATTTTTTTGGAATGAAATAGTAAACGAATTTGACCCGACTCAAAATATTTTGACCTATTTGATTTTGCTCGGTTATATAGTTTGATCCAGTGCCCCCAACATGAAAAATTCTTGGATCAGCCACTAGTAAAGTTACAGTGGACGAACAGGAACCCGATTACATAAATATAGATATAGATAATTTTTGCATAAACTTTATATATTGTTTTGTAAAGTATTACAATACACATTCTCAAATAAATGGTTCGCAGTATTGTCCTGTGTAAGGGCTAACCTTTTCAAGAAGAAAGTGTGTGTGAGGAGGAGATGTCGGCCAAGAAGAAAGTTGTTAGTAAAAACCATATAAACAGGGTTCTTGGACGATCTCTACTTTTTTTTTTTAGAATCATCCACTAGAACAATGTAGTTAATAAAAAACATATAATAGAGAGAGTATTACAATAGAGGGTGTGAGGAGGAGAGGTTGGCCAAAAAGAAAGTGGGAAGATAGTATGCAATTAGATTTGAAAGAGTTAGCCGTTATCGATGATGACAGGAAACTGTGGAGGCTTAGAATCAAGGTATATGAGTAGTATTATTAGTGTAGTCTAGGGCTAGCTTCATTTACATTGTTTGTGCTTGCCATCTAATTTTCACCTTCTCACTCTCCTTGTCTATTTTACTTGCATCATGTGCAATTAGTACCAATTTTCAACTTACTTCATATATCTGCTTATACTATTTGTATAATTTATTCTTGTTTTACTTCGTGACCCTTACCCCTCCTCATCTTCATCTGTAGATCTTTTTTCATTTTCTTGGTTTCTTCTTTAAGACATATACCACTTTATACTTATTATGACAATATATTTTTTATGTAGGGATAATTTAAATGTGAGCGTGATTTCGAAAAGCTTTACTTTCATTTAACTACTTGTATTTGCATTTTTTTTTACCGAATGTCTCATATAGAAGCAGTCTCTCATCCTTACGGTGTGGGTTGTCGACATTCCTACCTCCCCTTACCCCATTTGTATAAGAATGAGGTATTGTTGTTATTGTTATTGTTGTATTATAAATAAAATGAATATTAAATAAATTATTTAAACTTTAAGAATAAAACTGTGATAAAAATTTATCTTACTAATGGCATTTTTGAAATATCTTTTGAAAAATATTGTAAAATAACGTTTTGGATTTAGGGTGACAAATAAAACATACAAATGGGCCAACGATTAATTGGGCCTTTAGAACTTTTTCTTAATTCTCATTTTCTTTCACCGCTTTAAGCGCCTTAAAACGACGTCGTCAATTTCATCCTATAAAAGCATCTCAACCTTTTGTTCTCGATAGAAACCAGCGCGAGGCTATTTCCGCACAATCTACAGAACCGAAGTTTGGGAGCTCATCGTGATCCACCGATCAGAGAACAATAATTAAAACAGGACAATGGTACATAAATTATGTTGTTATAGAAAGATCTTGTTGTTTCATATATGTTTTTTTAAGTATTGTGATCTTGTTCACCTGTAGATCGCCCTTTTGAGTCAATTAGGGTTTTCCAATTAGCATCATGTATCTGATTCGTGAATGAGGGCTAGGGATTCTTTTTAGTGTAATTGGAGAAAGATAAAGAGCATTGGGAAACTTTAGGGTAATTTTGGCTAATTTCCATGCTTACGAGAAGATCTTGATGTTGGTATTAACATAGTTAACCTAAAAGAAAGCTGCGGTGGCCTAAATCTAGGAGTGTAAGACACAGCCCACAATCAATAGAACCACGGAAGATGTTTTTAGAGTATTAAGATTATGTAATTTGATTCATACCCTATGCCAATTGCACAAAAGAAGATGCGTTTAGGATTAGGAACTCCAGAATCCAGATTTTAATGTAGTTCTTCTCTTATTTCCTATTTCTAACTGATTATGTTTTCTAGGTCATGCAATAGCCTATAATTTGTGAATCGAACCAATAGTCACCGCATTACATTCATGAATCATAAATTCTTTCAAATCAAATGTAGATTCACTTTATCATCATAAAAGACTTGATAATCTGCATGAATCTATATCACAAATTATTTGATTTTGATAAGTATAATTCATACACTTTCAGATTAATGACACCATTTATATGTTTTGCAGTCGACACTTGCAGCTGCTAGGGCAGACAACTTCTACTACCCTCCAGAATGGGAACCAAAGAAGGTATGCTGTTTGAATATATATAATAATTACATGTCTATTAAACATTAATCTTTATAATCAACAATTATGGTGTATAACAATAATCATCTATCTTCTTTTTCAGGGTGGATTGAACAAGTTCAATGGACAACATGCCTTGAGAGAAAGAGCAAGAAAATTAGACCAAGGAATCTTAATCATAAGATTTGAAATGCCTTACCATATCTGGTGTGGTGGTTGCAATTCCATGATTGCAAAGGGTGTAAGATTCAATGCAGAAAAAAAACAAGTTGGAAATTATTACTCTACGAAGGTAATCTATAAAATTTAAAACTTTACAATTAATATCACCAAATTCACCCTTTTGTCATGATTCTTAATTTTATTTTAGATATGGAGCTTCACCATGAAAGCTCCATGCTGCAAGCATGTCATTGTGATTCAAACAGATCCAAAGAATTGTGAGTATTTGGTTATCAGTGGGGCCCAAAAGAAGGTTGAAGAGTTTGAACCTGAAGATGCAGAAACTATGGTACTTCAATTTGAGGAAGGTTAGTAAATTAGTATCAATAATTCAATATTATCATTCAAGATTTGTTATGTAACATGTTTGACCAAGAGTTGACCATCTTTTTAACATCAAAATGTTTATATTTATTTAGAGAAAAACAAGCTAGTTGATCCTTTTTATCGCCTTGAACATCAAGAGGAGGATTTAAAGAAGAAAAAAGAAGCTGAACCTTTGCTTGTGAGACTTCAAAAAGTATCTGATTCCAGACATTTGGATGATTATTCATTAAACAAATCTTTACGTGCCAAACTTAGGGTATGTAAATTTAATAACCTTTATCATTTTATTACTTTATTTGGTTTTTAATTCTTGTAACTTATAATGATTTCTTTTAAAAAAACAGAGTCAAAAGAAAAGAGTAGCAGAAGAAGAAACATCTGCAAGAAAAATGGGACTTGGGATAAGACTACTTCCACCCTCTGAACAAGACATTGCAGCTGCTAAACGTGTCAAGTTTTCTTCAAATTTCAACAAGAATAGGGATGAAAAACGTGCATTGATAAAGTCAAGTTCCATCTTTTCAGGGGTATATTCGTCCAATTCAAAAAGATCAGAGCTTGAGGTGAAAAGAAGAAGGATAAATGCAACAAAAGCATCTGAGTTGTTGTCTGGAGGGTTTAAGTCATCGTCATTGACACGGGGTGTTGGATCTTCTTCTTCGGTTTTTAAGAACAGGGCTTAAAATTTGTTGTTAAATTTGAATTTGATATGTGTGTAATTTATATTTTTCATGATAATGATGTTCTTTTGTGTAAATCTTGAAAGAGTAAAATGGATTGTGTTAATGAAATAACAAAGTTGTATGTAAATTGGAATGTATGTCAAATATTTTATTCTTTGTAGAGTTAGAAAGGTTTTTTGATGCCATATTTTTTGTTTAAAAATTTAAATGCTACAACTTAGGCTAACATGATTATAAATAGAAAGAACTGTTTTGATTGTTGTTGATTTTGAACAATGTAAGGTGTGTTAAGAATTGACTACTTTGACTATTTATGAATGACATAAGTGTCACACTTGGAATTCTCGAAGATCACTATGAGATAAATGTCCAACTAAAGTACCATATGCCTAAAACGTGATTTCATGACAATGAGTGTTTCCCCTCATGTTTACTCTTTTTGTCCCCTATTGTAAAAGGTTACTTGTATGAATCATATAAAGATTACTTGTTCGTATTATTTTGGATCATTTGATTTGTTCGTAACACTAAGACACATAGTCAATGGTGATTCACCATTTTATCCATTTATAAATTATACAACATAAAGAGTAAACTACCGATATGGTCCTTTATGTTAGGTTTATGCATTTTCTGTATTTTTTTTAACCATGTCAAACCCGGGGTTTTAGTTTGTTACATAAGTTGTCTTTAATAACATATAAGGCGTCTTCGAAATACATCTTTTGGGAGCTTTTGGTTTTTAGCTTTTAAAAAAAAACTTGAGAAAAAAAACTTTGTTTGACATCAGAAACTTGTAGCTTTTGGGTTAAACAAAAAGTTTCAAATCAAAAAACTACTTCAACTAGCGTTTAACAAAAAACTCTTTTAGATTTTAACAAACTGACTAAAATACCATTTAAAATAAATAAATCATATCCATACTTTTAGTAATTAACTTGTACAATTAAATATAAATATTTTTTTACAATCATGATGTCTTTATTATTGGAAACAATCATATAAACAGATTTTATAATTTCTTAATCTTTATCTAACAAAATAATAAATATTTATTATATAAATTTATACACCAAAATTAATATCATATAATAATACGCTGAAACACTTGTAACATGTAAAAAATGTTTGGTTTAAGTTCTTATAAAATTGAAAAATCTTATTTACTTTATTTGTAAAAAATTATTATTTCCGATATTTTTGGTATACTAACTGATAGCTGAAAAGCTAGCTTTTATATGAAAAGTTGGCTGATAGCTGAAAATCTAGCTGATAAAAAATAATGTTTTGTAAAATTAGATGATAAGACAATAAGCTAACCGAAAAATATAAAATAACATAAAAAGACATTTGGAAAAATAGAGTTTTTATAATTAATTAAGGGTATATATGAAAATTAATAAAAAAAAAACTTCTAAAATGTTAGTCTAAGGCTGGCGCGCCATATGTAGTTATTTATTTAATTGTTATGTTTGATAAACCAAGAAGTAGCTTATAAGCTAGATTTTTAAAAAATTATTTATGCTGTTTTTGACGTGCCACATCTAACTTATTATTCGAAACCTTTTTTAAGTTATCATTTTGACAAACCAAAAAGTAGTTTATAAACCAACTTTTTAATAAACTACTTAGACTAGCTTTTTAGGAGTTTTATTTTCTTTTCTTTTATTTTATTTTATTTTTTATTTTATTTATTTATTTATTTTAATTTCTCAAATGTACCCTTAGGCTAATTTTGGCTAGCTAAAAAAAGCCTAATTATCTTTTTAAAAAACTAGTTTATAAGCTACTTTTGGCTTGCTAAATGTGACAACTTAAGAAATTCGAAAAATAAGCTAATTGTGGCGTGCCAAACGCAACTTTACTAAGGCTGTGTTTGGTGCTCCACAGCTAGCTGATAAGCCAACTTATTTTTCGAGTTTTTTTAAGTTGTCATGTTGAAATGCCAAAAAGTAATTTAAAAGCTAGCTTTTTTAAAAAGCTATTTGGACTAGCTTTTAAGATGTTATATATATATATATATATAT